GTGGAATATTTCGGCCCCTCGCTGGTGAGTTGCAAGAGATCGATGGCAAAGCGGTACCGGTATCTGTTTACTTGCATGCAGTCTCGCGCGGTGCATGTAGAGATGATACACAGTATGTCTACTGAATCGTTTCTGATGGCACTCTGAAGGCTAATCAGCAAGCGCGGAGCTCCGAACAACATCTAATCCGACAACGGTTCAAACTTCGTGGGCCCGTCGAACGAGTTACAAGGGTGGATATCCCGAGTAGATAAGAGCAAACTACACAAGAGACTGACATCCCAAACTATTGAATGGCAGTTCAACCCGCCGTACGCCAGCCACAAAAGTGGCTTTTGGGAACGGATGAGAAGGACCCTACTGGCTGTATGCAGCCAAAAGTCCGTCGAGGATAGGACACTGAAAACGGCCCTAACCGAGGTGCAGCGCATATAATAATAATCATAGTAATAGTAATATTAAGTGTATATTTCACGGATCCCGTGAGGCATGTATAGGCATGATCAAATGTACAACACAATCCTCCGTACAGGAGAGGCCCAAAAGGAAAATAATTGAAGGTCACAGTGAACATAATTACAAATGGAACACAGAGTGGACAAGGTATCAGATAAAAAAAGTTGAGGATGGCGAAATGCTCTAAAAGAGCAAGTCAGTGGAAGTAGGATGAAAAACAAGAATTGTTATGCCTGATGATTGAAAACACGACAAGCAGTGAGTAAAATAACAAGAGGCGGCCTGCAGATCGTTGGACGGAAACCGGCACAAAAGCGGATAGGGTGAAGCAGAACAGAGTGAAACTGTCATGGAATATACTTCACGTTGTGAAACAGATGAGTTCTGAAGGGTCTTGTTCGATGATCTCAGGGGCTCCGATCAGCAGTGGATTACTTTGGGTTATTTACGTTATTAAGGCGTTCGTCGCTTTGATGTGGGACTGACTAGACGCTAGGCACCCAACCTTAAAACACCTTGTAGATGAGGCATGGATGCATTCCTCTACCTGGTCCGGAATGCGGACGCATGCAGTGGAAGCGATGGATACAGCCGCACCCAACAACCATTGCTCGTGCCAAATTGTCCGTTTCGGGTGCAGACCCCAAGCCTTTGTCAGGCCCAAAACAACCGCATCTGAAATAGGAAGGCAAACATCGGCAGTTTGGGGTGCAGCGCAGCTGAGAAGGGATTAGGGAAAGAAATAACAAGAAGCAAACGACAAATTCTAGTCAAGCAGGGTGCTTAGGTCATAATACTGGTGAGAGTATGTTGTCAAAATATGTCGAGTTCTATAGATCCAAAATGTAGGTGGATAGACGTAATGGTAGAACATCAGTTGATAGAGTAGACACAGCTATCTGATTAGCATGTGCCACAGAGTTGAGCCAATCGAGTCAGACAATAACGAGATAAGATATATGCAAAGAAACGCCTGATCCGGTTTTTTGTGACAGCATGGCGGATGCCATTGCTATTCACCCATATGAACCATTTATTTTTGGTTCTCCCCCTGCTTGCAGGGCTGGTTTGCGAATGAGCGCCACCGTTTGTTCCTGCGACCTGTACGGTTTAGGGTACCAAACCTAGGAGTCGTCCCCGCCTATCTCCTACGGTTGGCTTTCTTCGGATCGTTCTGTATAGATTGTTTGATATGGTGTAAGATTTTTTGATGAAATAGAGGAGGAAGAGAAAAAAATTCGATATTGTATAGAACAAGGGAGAATAGTGAAAACGTGTAACAGCCTCCTCCATCCTCCCTGAAGCCATACTTCCAGATTATTTAGTCCACTTACACTCAAGTACTGGCCCTGAGAATTTGTCTACCTGAGCCCGTTGCCAGCCTACCCTGTATAATAGTGCTTTTGTGGTTACCGCAAACTGAGCAGTCTACTGTCTATTCACCAGGGACAGTCGGGTCTTTTCGAGTACACACAAGTGTATACACACGGACATGCATGCATGCCCACTTCATTCGTCCTGTTTGGTGCCTTTTATACAGCTTCCGGAAAAAGTTCTGTCCAGATTGCATCTAGGTGAACCTTGAACTCCACGACTGAGGCTACTGAAACAACCGCTCATACGGTTTATAACCCTATGAGCGAAGAAATTTGCCCGGATGCTCTCGGTTTCTCAAGCTTCATTCCGTTTCTAAGTGTGAGGTTATTATTTCTGGATAGCAGCTGCGTTCCCGTACTTGAAAAACCCGTTAGTTGCGTGAAAGCCTCTATGAGGTCCCCCCTTANCTTCTGAACAGCCTTTGTGCATTTTCTAGTAACACCGAGTCCTTCACTAGGGACGGCGTCAACGCCTGTACACAGTACTCTAAGTGGGGCCTCAAAACGCTTAGTAGAACGGGAGAAAGACTAATCAGTCTCTTGAAGTCACAGTTATTAGTAAATGATGTGGCGCACTCTTTGCTATTGTCAGCTCTCAGAGGCACTGCTGGGCCGGTTTGAAAGTCTCGTGTATGAGGACTCCAAAATACATCATATGCCCCGTTTGGGTAATTTCCTGAGGATTATCTAGGTTCAGTAGCCTGTTAGTTGATGATAGCTGACCTCCTTGGAATAGAAGCTTTCTGCAATTATTAGTGTTCAGTGGAAGCTCCAATTCCATCGCCCATTTTTGTAGAGGATCTAGGTCTTGTTGCGTTTCCACTTAGGTGCGGTCCCCAACTAGATTAACATCATCCGTAAACACAAAACACGGCCCTACCAGTTCTTGGGGCATATCGTTGATATAGATGATGAAAAGTAGCGGCCCTAATACCGATCCCTGGGGGACGCCACTACATGCTGCTGCTCTACCCGACCTTGCCCCTCCACATGAAAGTTTCTCCCACGGAGGTATTCGTCGATCCACCTAACGATGCCGGGGCTAAAGCCGAGTGCTTGTAGTTTTCGCGCTAGAAGACGATGGTTGACGGAGTCGAATGCTTTCTGAAAGTCAAAGTAGCATACTTCGACTCCATATCCTCTATCTGGCCTGGCCGTAACCTCGTCAAGAAATGCTTGTAGGTTTGTCAAACACGACTTCCCCTTAACAAAGCCATGTCGCTTGCCTGATAGCAAATCGTGATTTACTAGGTGCTGCGCCATCCTATCCCTCAATATTCTTTCCATTACCTTCAGTCGGTTCCTCTATGCAGCCCCCTTTATGTA